AATTATTCAATAGAATCACTGGAAAACTATAGAGTTTTCCAGCGACAGCGCTGGGATTTTCTATGAATTTTTTGACCTACGTGTCAATGATAAATATGTCGAGAAAAAGGAAAAGACTTTTAGATCATTAGATTGTGCATTCATTATACTATTGATTATAATATGTTCGATTTTACATTCCTGACAATTATTACAAAATGCGAGGAGCTACCGTATTGAGAACCCCTTTCCGGTTATCGACAAATTTATGCTCGGGCCCTATCATACCAACAGTTCCGTACGCTCCATCGTAGTCCATGCGCCACCGCTACTATTTTTGTTGTTGAACACTTTACATTGGCCCTGTTCATCTCCCCTATAATCTCTGCCCCGAGATCTGAGCCTCTACTTTAAGGGTGCGTTTCGGAATCAACTACCGTAGCTGCAGTAAAGCGAAATTATAGGGTGCGTTTCGGAATCAACTACCGTAGCTGCAGTAAAGCAAAATTAGATAGCGTTGCAGTACTGCTACTGCTACTACGTAGATTGCGAAACGCGCCCATAGGGTTACAGTACTGCTACTAAGTCGATTGCGAAACGCGCCCTTAGTCTATCCTCTTTGGCCCCCACTGCACTGGCTTTTGAAAACTTCGCGCCAAGTTTTGTATCAGGCGTAGATAACCTCAATATTTTCTGACAACAATGTGCTTCAATAAATGATTTGATTTAACAAAAAAAGATTCGAGAACGGAACAGAAGGAAAATGCAACCGGAAATGCTGGGAGACTTACCGTAAGTGAAAGATCAATTAAAAAACGGAGATTGATAGCCGGAAATCATACTAATACGGTTCGATAACCAATAACATTTTTTGCTCAATTTTTGTTGCAATATTTCTGTAATCAGTTCCTTGTTATGATTTTCATTAAGAGGAATTTCATTGTTTTTATTAAGGAGGCCTATCTCATCGTGTTAGATTTAAAATTAGTATAATAATTAGTGATTTCAAGTTTTCAGAATAAAGAAAATGACAGAAAACTTTTTTCGTACAAAATTTCCCCAGCTACACTGTTCAAAATTCGTTGAAATTGAATTCGAATTTGAATCGCAAGCTACTTACTAATTTTCAATTTTATAATTTTGAATTGAATTTTATATGAAATTATTCATGAATTTCTGATTCACATTGAAGATTCAGGTTATTTAATGTTACAAGGAGGCTAACGCGGGTGAATCTTTGTGACCCTTTGGGCTTTTTGGTTCAGTAGAGTTTTTGAAGTCATAGGGACCACACAGGTCAACGAAGAAGTCAAGGACATATCCCCTTCGAGAGTGTTATGAAAGTGTAGTCCTAGGCCCATTTTACCTCGCCTTTCCCCGATAATAAATGCCGAGAAATTCGTTGTGAAAATCGAATATCTATTCACATGAATTCAATTTCAAGCGTTCCTTACTCAGGTGCGGTGTATATACCCCAGGCATTTTCGCAATAATTTTTTTGTCATTCCGGCCGTAAGGCAGCATTTCACGGAAGCTCCGCGCCCGTGAATCTCTGCCTACGGCCGTCATGACAAAAAATATTGTTCGTCATACGGCCAAAAAAAAACTTTTCCGACGAGTATGATTGCAGCCCTCGCCTTCGGCTCGTGCTGCAAAGCTCATATTCGCCAGAAAAGTTTTTTTCAGCCTAATGACGAAATATACTATTTTAGTACAACCGAGTGAGTAACGAACAGATGGAAAATTCTAGACTATAGTCGCCTGAATTTTCATAATTTCCTAATATTGCTCCCACTTTATCATCTGGGAATTGTGATAAAATATCCAACAAAATCTAACGAGCGAGGGTCAGTAGATGACCGTTTTGGCATGAAACACCTTATATTTAAGTAACGAAGGTAATTTTTCTTTGCGCTGTCCGTAAAGAAATTTCATATAATTAATCATTCCTCTTGAAATCAATACCATTCACCTTACGTAAAAACTTTCTTGGTATTTTCGTCCTGAACCGTATCTCTTACAAACACTGTCCGAACAAATTAGCAAATGTTTTCAGTCTGGACCCATGTTTTCTCAACAATTCCGTGTCCCTCGAGCAGCATCCCTCATTTTCTAATTTTTTTAATTCAATTTTTTTTTCTCTCGTATACCCTTTCGGGTTTTTACGATTTGTTCCCTTATGTGCTTTTATGTGTTTACTCGGCTGGTTTTCAGTGTCCCGAGTTGAAAATTTGTGGAGATACTCAAAAAAATACATATTCTTCGACAAGAAACAAGAAATCTCCATTCAGTGGGTGAACGACTGAAAAATCGCGAAATATCAGATATTCTTATGATTGTCTTAAAAATTCTTTTTTTTTCGTTTTCATACTTTTATTCAGCTTTTATTGAGAGTCCCTATTTGAAAATTCGTGGAGATACTCCAAAAAGTATACACTTTCCGAAGAAGAAGAAAAAATTTTTTACGAGAGGGTGGACAACCAAAAAACCACTGAATTTTGATAAAAATTTGATTTTTCATGGCCGAAAAAGACTGGGACGAGAACGGAAATTTTTTTTTCTGAAACTTCAGACAATTTCCGAAGAAAACTTACTTAGACATTTATTCACAGAATGAAAACTGTTGCCGTGAAAATTGATTGAAAAAAAAGGAGAGAAAAATTTCAACATGCATTTTCTCGGTTATCAATCAAGATATCGAAGTGTAAATTTAGGGTTGAGTTTCTTTTGACATACATAACAAATTGTGAAAATTGAAGGTCAATCCCAAAATCAATGCCGAAACCCTGGATGATAATTGGGAAAATGTGCCAGTTGTCTCTTACGAGACTCCCGCTCGACAATGACACCGTGAGATTTAGAGTGTCACATATTTTGGCCCTCCCAGCCGGGAATCAAACCCGGGTCTACCGCATGCCAATCCCACACTCTAACCACACAGCCACTGCCTTCGGTCATCCCTCATTTTCTAATTGTTTCAGTTATTGCAAGGGCTTATGGCTCGTTATCTCCGGCACCACCAGTCGCTGCGAGAAGGCCCTCGTGGATGACGAAATAAAGAACGCCACCGACCTTCTGAAAAATGGCCTTAACTACTTCAAGAAATTCACTGAGTCCTCTCTCCAGAAATATGACAAAACAAATCCTCGTCCGAAAATGTACGATCTTATCTCCAAGCTCTCGTACCTCTTGAACCTCGATGCCATCATTGCCTCAGAATTGACCCTGAACTACATGGTCTACGAATACCGTAGTTGCGCTGAAACGTTTGCCACCCAGCTTGCAGATTTAACATCTCTGAAAGTTTTCATTGAAGAACTCTGGAATTTTTATTACTCAGAACGAATAACTATGATAAAATGTTTAAAATTGATGATAGAGTACAGAGACAACCCCAACCACCCTTATCAAAAAGAATTCTCCAAGTTCTTCGAGGAGAACCCCTTGAAAATTTTTCTTCAATCCACCCTAGAGCAAATAGAGCGCTTAAAGTTCACAAATATAGCCTCCAGGTCGCACTTGATCACCGAAGAACACCTCCACAAGCTCTACAACAGCAATCTAATTGAAATGAGAGAACTCCTCCAGATATCAACAATGATCCTGGACACAATTCGTCCAGACACTTTCGAGAATCTCTACTCCAGCATCTGCGGGGAACCGCGACGTCTCTCCAGTTCCAAAAGCCACGAGGACAAGGAAATAATCTCCAAAAGGCTTGAAGAAATTCGAAAATGTCAATCTGCCCTCCACATTGTTATCTTGGACATAAAAAAACACTCTGAACTTGTTGACGATACAAATATCGTTGAAACCTGGTTGAGGGATGTGAGGAGAGGTATGCAGGATACTCTGGAGCATAAATGCCTGCGAGAGAGTTCTCCAGAGGACGGTCCATTGCTTCTCTCTTGGATGGTAGCAAACTATGCTATCGAGCCGGAAAACTCAGAGACATTAAGCCTCTTTCGACCTTTTGGAGTTCGTGCAGTTCACCTAGACGTTTTTAGGTACCTTCAGGGTCTACTTGAGGCTGAGATGATTAAGGAAGAAACTCGATATGCACAAATTGTTCGGGGAAGTGCTTACAATCTCTTATCTCTCCTCTGTTCTTTCATGGATGAAGATAAACTCAGCACTTTTGAAGGGATTTTCGAGGCAGTTGCATCAGTTTTTCGTTTTTCAGAAATCGCAGCTGATTTTTGGAGAGATAGGGATGAAGAGAGAGGTCTTTGGCCCTTCTACCACCGAGCTGCAGCCCTCTTCCCCTATCGATTCGAACCATTAACGATAATTGCTATGGCCCTTGCAGCTGCATCATCCTCGAGTGCTCAGAAAATAACAGAAAAACTTGAACAACTGTCCACTCTCACTCTTCAAGTTCCCAGGCATCGCAACAGCATCCTATCACGAACTTCACGACTAGGGTTGACTTATCGTCCTTATAAAGGGGATTGCACACTCCATCGAAATGATTTCGAAATCCCTGAGGATTGCGAGAGGATTGTTCTAGATGGAGACCTTAGTGATTCAGAGATAATTCTGTTTAAGATAAAAGGGAGGTATGGAGATGCCTTTCATCATAAGATTGAACAGCTGTTTGGACATGCAGGTGGAGGATTGATGAACGTGAGTGACCTCCAAACGAGTTTATTAGAGAACATTGCACAAGGGTTCAAATTATTGAACGCTATTCTCTCTGCAGGCTTGGATATCCCTCCAGGAATGGTAATTCCCACTGAATTGAGTCTGGAGATCATCAATAGATTCGCTTATCCAGTTTTACCAACAAATCTGTACATACTCGTTGCTTCGTGCTTGCAAGTCACCGCCAGACTGGTTCTGAAGTATCCTGAAGACATTTTATCCAGGATGAGGGTTGGGGTTTATCCAAAGTTCAATACTGGATTCCAGGATGTCATGGAACTTTCTAAAGCATCTTCATTTGACGGAGGATTGATTGCTTCTTGGTTATCAGGAATTGAAACCATTCAGCATCAATATCCTGTATTAAATGCTTACCTAGACACTTTATCGAATTATCTAGTTGCTAAACACAGTACAGAAGTCATGGACAATGTCGAGATCCCAGGGATGGTGTTTCTTCTTCAAGGAGTCCTACCAAAATTGGACTCGTGGTATTTTATTTCGGAATCAGAACGAATTGATCTTTGGTTCAAGTCAATGTTCTGTATCCATCGAGTGCTAGATGCCAACCTATCGAAGGATGAACCGAGGAAGAAATTGCAGTTGGTGGTTGCTTACAGTCTGTTGTATCTCGAGCCCAGACATGCATTGTTGAAGCTGATTAGAACAGGAGAGAGAAATTTGAGGAGCAAAATGATGAACGAAACAGACTGGATCAGTGGGAAGGGGTTCAAGATCATCAAGAGTGTACAGTTGGCTCTCTCCCTGGTCAATCGATTATTGATGTTCAGAAAGAATCTTGGATTGAGTCATGATGAACGATCTCCATTGGAGGTGGCACTCTACACCTCTCCATCTCTACCAAATGCTCTTCTGATTGTTCCAACGATTGTTAACTATCTTTACGTCGAATTTAGTCCTGCGTTACAGGCAATGGCAGTAAGATTACTCAAAAAATTTGCGCAGGGGTTCTCGATGTCCCTTTTGGTCTGCATGGGAATGGATGGAACGGCTGTCAGAGGAACCTTTGCCTCGAGGTTGATGTCTCCAACGTGTTCAGTCGAAGTCAAAGTGGCTATTCTTGAGCTAGTTGCTATTTGTCTCGAGAAACAACCTGGGTTGACGGAGGCTCTCTTCAATATCATGCATCAGGCTGAACAGAGAAGAATCTTCCCTAGACCTGCTGACCAATTTCTGACAGAAGGATGCAGTCAGTTCTTGGATTTGTACTTGAAGAGAATGCCCAATGAGAAGGAAATTGTCTGTGATCGACTGTACGATAATACAATAAATTTGTTGAGAGCAATGTGGTACAACAGAAACGTCATTCTGGTAAATTTCTTCAGGAGACGAGAGAAATTCTGGACACAAGTGTTTTCTCCTCTCTTCAATCCACTAATTCGAGGATCCAGAGGTTATGCACACCTAATTGACATCGCAACGTTGGAATTGTTTGAATCTTTACCCACTTCAACTCCTGAGGATGATTTCACGAAAAACCTGGAAAAACTTCTGCATAAAGACGATCATTGGGAACGCATCAATGAGTATATCTTGATGAATGTTCCTTCATCCACTTCTACCACTTCAGCTAGCGATAAACCAAAATCTGAGCCTGATGACAACAACGTGGAAGCACCATTGTACGAAGCAAACATTGAAGCTTGGTATCACTTCATCGTGACTCTAACAGACGCAAAAATCTCTAGTGAATCGCTATCGCGGATTGAACCTAAACGGATTCAATTTTTAATGAGATTGACGTTAGAATCGTTGTCATTGAAAGTTAAGAGAACTTCTGACATTGGAGATGCGCGGATAACTATGTTACTAGCTTCACTAGCACTCAGATGTGTCTATACTTGGAGGGAAAAGTGTATTGATGATTCAGCAGTCTTCATAGACAAGATCGTGCAGTTGATGGAGAATATATTCCACTCGTACACTGCTTATGGAATCCCCTTACGGAGGATTTTAATTTCGTTGCTGCTGGGATGCATTCAGCTTGTGAAATCAAGTTTATCAGACGACAGATCAAGTCTAGAATATCTATTAGTCCACTCTTGCTTATTGTCAAACATTGAGCTTCATAAACTAGGAGAAACAGCGAAGCAGACTAAAGAAGCTAATTTGAACCATGAAGAAAGAGACCGCGACCACCTGGAAAGCACAAAACCCTCGAGCCTACCGAACCCTCATCAAGAATGCAGTCCAGCGACCTTGGCTATCAGTATGGTGACGTACTTATTGCGTTGTGATCCCCACAAGCAATCCCCGAAATACGCAGGAAGGTCCAGCAGTCTTCACCTTCGTCAAATGATTCCAGAACTGATGAACTGCCTTCATGATACTCTACAAATTCACAAATTCGTGGGCTTCAGTAAAGCCGCACTAGAATTTCTAGGGACAATTGCACGTTCTCCATACTACAATCCATCTCCAAGACCTATTGATGATGAGGAGTCGATTGCAAAACTCTGGTTGGGGTTGGTTCCTCCCCAGGTCCTAGGAGGCAGCATGTTGGAGTCTTTGTACGATGATAGGGCAAACGTGGGACAGTGGAGATGTCAGGATTGGTGGCAAATTTATACTCTAGGTATTGAGTTCTTGACTGGACTCATCACGAATGGATGCAACGGGGATCAACCCAATCTTCCTCCAACGAACATCAGTCCAATCATCCTATTCCTTGGATCACACGAATTTCAATTGATTGAAATAGCTACCTTGTTGAGGCATACTGCAGACCCGCTAGCTATCGATCTAGTTCAATCCCTTGTGGCTTTGATATCTGCATTGACAGTACAAAAATCAATTTGGACTATCATCCAGCCAAGTGTGAGAGAAGGACTCATGAAATGCATGTACTTGATTTATGATTCAACAGTGAATCTCCTGCTTCGTCCTCGCATTCTAAAGTTCATCATTGATGGAGTGAGGGTGGAGAGTGCAGAGGACCTTCATTTCTGTGATGAAAAGCCTCCCAGTAATGAATTGCAGTTGCTGGTTAATAAATTGATCGTCGTCAACTGGTGGTGTACTCAGTGCTTCTTGAGATTTTCCCCTCGATTGAATGCTCTAGTAGATACTATTTATACTCAAGACTTCTGGGATACTCCTCTTGCTGAGATGAATTTTGGACCACCCCAAATGTCGATGAGCTCGGGTCCCAGCCTCACATATGGAACAATCATCAGTTCGACTCAATTATTCACACAAGCATTGAACTCACAGTTAATAGTGGGGTCGTCTTCGATTAGTCAGCAGGGAGTTTCTAGGGATGGGATAGATTCAGCTAAACGAGAGTGGGAGCGAGCGACCCCAGAAAACGTCAGGAAGCTTCAGCCGAAGGATTTAATGAGAATTCTCAATCCTCAGTTATCAGGATATGTATCGGGTCCTGAGGTGCTGGGACACCCTAGGCTTCTACGAAGGCCTTACGACCCTCTCATAGTGGAAAATACTATCCTATCAAGAGCAACGTCCTTCGCCCATCACAGTGGGCGTCATCATTCAAATAAAAATGGACAGAATTCAGGACAAATTGGAAATACTGGACAATTAACGCCATCAGGAAGGAACGATCGAACTGATGCCAATCCGTGGTTCTCCTCCATGAATGAGAACAACTCTAGGTTAGCATTGGAAGTGAACCTCGTTCTTGTTCTGTGTCAAACATTGGAGGGGGTCAAGAGCCCGAGATTAGCATTGAGGGATCGTCAATTGATTGCGAGGGAAACTGCCAATGAGATTGGCGTTTTCTTTGATTTTCTAGAGCAAAGGGGGTCGGGTTTGCTCGAGTGGGCGATTGAAGGCGTACTTGTGGGGGGTGGGCTCCATGATTCAATTGTAAGAGCTGTAAAACCGAATGTTAAAGGAGGATCAGGTTCTCTGACAGTGAGACTTAAGGAGGGTTCCACCATCAATAAAGTACCCGTGGGATCTATCGATCATGATCCTCCAGAGGCCACCAGTCGGGAAGCTATTTCATTGAGACTAGAAACCCGTCTTGAGGACAACATCTTGACCACTGGAACTTTTGTTACTACAGCAACTGGAATTCGATTTCTGTCGTTGATTGGAAAACTATTCAAGTCAATGCTGGAGTCACTCGACTCTGCTCCCTATGGATGATAGAGCATGTCGATTGTCTTCGTATTTTTCTATTAATTTGTGCTAATGTACGCAGAACGTTTGTCATTAGACTTCTGAAGCGATAGAAATAAAAAAATGTCAACACATTAACTTTTTCGTCATTGTTTTTCTTTCACCCAATTACTTGGATTCTCTGTCAACCTATAATAATAATAATAATAATAATGATAATAATAATATTTTTTCGTTATCTTTTAGGATACAGTAGAAAAATATAATTCAAAACGCCAAAGGATAGTATGCCTCGGTGTCTTATTCCCCTTGCTCTTCGCAGTTGGTTTTTTTTCTGCTGTTTTACCTTATTTTGTAGACTGAATCATAGCATCAGTAATTAAGATTATACTAGCAAATGTTTTAATCCAGCAGGAAAGCGCTGAAATTGATGAGCAATGAGTTGAGAAATTCCAGACATTATATTGTCAATATCTCGGGAAATACTGAATTTACGAAATATCAAAAAATATTCATGGAAACAGAAAAAAAAATTGTATTTCTTTCTGAATTCACTATTATAGTAGGCAGTAACTGAAAGTCAATTAACAGTCACGTGCCAATGTTCAACCTTCAAATTATGCATGAATTTTTTTGTTCAATGTTCTAATGTCAAGACAATTCTATTTGTAATTAGCCTCTAATTTCCCTTACATTTATATTGAATTGAATGACTTTTCAGCAATAGGAGCAATTAAAATCAGTGGAACTTCAAGAATTGTTAGTTAAAGTTCTCCACAAGTATTTTCCCAATATTCTATAAAATGGTTTGTGAAATTTTTCAACTCATCTTCAAAACACCACTCCAAAATCCATAACAAGTTAATTAAAAGATTGAATGAATCAGTGGAAAATTCGTCAACAGTGTCAATGGATTTTTATAAATTTGTGTAAAACACAATACGTGAACAGTAATTCAATTATTTCGTCTCATCTTTTCATTTTTGAATGACTGATAGCAGCGGCGGAGGTAGTGAGTCCAATAGGACTGTCCAACAATTTGTAATTCACTCTTTGAATAATTATTTAAATAAAATGGATGCTAAGGCGGTAAATGAGACGCAACAATGTCAGATGATGTTGAGAATTCCGGGGGAGATTGGTGAAGTTCGTGAGGTTGATTTTGGGGTATGGAGTTCATTGGAGGCTCTGATGTTGGATTGAAGAGCCTGGGCGATACATTGGACGATTCTGTGGTTGGCGGAAGGGGTGGGAGAGGTGGAGGAGGTAAGATAGAGAATGGAGAACTTGGAGGGACATTTGTGGGGGCCTCTGCAGCGTCATTATCAGTTCCAAGGGCTGAAGAATCTTCATTCCCTTGATTCTCCCATAATTCTGCTGATTTTCCTTCGTGATTGTTGGACAGATTTGCACTCGTACGTTGGCGCTTGACATCACCATGGAGGAGACAATTGACATTGGGCGAACTGCTCCGGTCTCTTACTCCCTCTTGCTCCTCCAGGAAACGATCCATGTAGTCTCTGCTTAACATTTCGTACAATATTCAGTTGATTTAATTGTTCCTTTGGAGATGTAGGAGTAATTAATGGATACTTACGTTATGCCAGGGTGCAGGGCATATTTCTTTTTTTCTAGGCGAGCTTTGTAGGTGAATATGTCGTGTCTTTCCGTTTTTTTCCAAAGATAGTAGAACTGCACGAGCTCACCGACGGATCTCGTTCTTACCTGAATAAAATAACCAACTAATGAACGACTGACTGGTTAAAATGAGGAATCTTAATTAGTCAATCATGAGTCCAGAACAGAGCACCATATAACCAACGTTTCTCATAATTAACCCTCGATCGGTCGCGTCATAGCACGAGCGCCGTTCTGTCTCGATTTTTATTTTTTACGCTGAAACGTTGTTGAGAAAAAATCTGAAAAAATTGGAATTCCTACTTTCCACCATATCAAACATTTAAACAATTTTTGTTCTGTGCATCTTTGCACCGATCAAAAATTAAAATTCCTTCAAAATTCAACTCGGTCAAAATCTCTGTGTTCATATTAACCTCTAAATGTCAAATTTTTGGGGTGGGTGACAAAATCTCCGACATCCAAAATCTCCGGAATTAGGTATAGTCAGATCCGATCAATTAGTCCCTCATGTATAGATATTCCAAATTTTTATTTTTTTCCTAATTGAAGTAGTTTTGAAGAAAATTGCGAGCTAATAAAAAACATTTGCTAGTTAGTACTTTTTTTAAAATAAATATTTGAAAAATCACCCCTGAAAAAAAGGCGTTATCCCCCCTATTTCATTATTTCCAAAAAATTTTATCACCAATCGATAGCAAATTGTTTGAAGATTATTGTGAGTTAAGAATAAATCGTCAATGCAATCCTATTATTGTGTAAATTAACAATTCCAATTTCAACTGAAAACCAGAGTTTGTAGCAGAGATGTCAGACAAAATATGAATGTTTTTTTTGGCTCAAATGAAAGAGTGGCTCGAAAAATGGCGTGCAGAAGTCTTTAACGATGACAAATATCTCTAAAGATGATGTCTGTTTTCAATTGAAAAGCGCAATTGTGACAACATTGTCCAGTGGGGTCTAGGAGTCTCCCCTGGTTCAAAACCATCTTTAGAGGCCCTTAGCACGCCATTTCTCGACCCGCTCTTTCATATGAGCCCAAAAAAACATTCATNGTCAATTGAAGGCCCAAAGAGGATAGACCTGAGTAGAGGCCCGGATCGGGGGGTTTGACAGCTAGTTACAGCTAGCAGGGGGAAGGGGGGAATGCAAATTTGGATTATTGCAATCGCTTGGTGGTTCGAAGGTGGTCAAAGGTAGTCCACTTTTAGCTTTTTGGTGGTAAAAATCAATTAATTATAAATAATCAAAAATTTCACCTGCAGCCAGCGGGAGGGATGCATCTTTTTGAAAAATTCAACATATGAATTTATATGTAAAATCCTGTGGCGGTCAAAGGTGGCCCAACACCAAATTCATCCGTTCATTTTTTCAACTGATAATAAATAATGTTTATTGGGTCTGTCTTACTGAGAGGTACTCCCCCCACCACTTCCCACTCCGGGCCCTTTAAATCATTTCGGAGCAAGTTTGAAGGTTACAAAATCTACAGTGATAGAAAAATCAAAAGCCATCACTTTCTATCATATTATAAAAATTATGAAAAGATCTAAATGCAAAGAATAGAATTGTGTGACTGAAAATACCAAAGAATTCCTCCGAGTTATAATCACCAATACATGCCTTCAGAATAGAAATTATGATGTCGAATCGAATGATGAATTCAACTTTGTGTGTCAGAATCTTATTAGTAGAAAGTGCCGTTGCTTATCCGATGCCTAAAATCAGATAGACCGTCTTCCGATATGGACGCTTATTTTATAAAAAAATTGTTTTTCAGAATAATGAAAGAGTGCCTCAATGACATGGATTGGAATACACTAGGGATATGCTTCTAGATCAATTGAAATTTTATATTTCTTGAAGTTCATATATTCTCACCGCAGAGGTATTGGAAAGAAATAAAGCAAACTGGGTGAAATGAGATGCAGGTTCAATGAATGATTTTGAACTGGACGAAGCCAGGATCGGCTGATGGGGGTCAAAAACTATGGAAGCGATTGAGAATTCCGGAATATTACGAGAGATGATCACGGAAGAAAATTAATTCTCTATCGAAACAATTTTTGGAGATGTTTCACCAGACCCACCGATCTTTGAAAGTCTAACAAATTCGGCAGAAAATGATTTTCACGCTGTGCATACTGCATTGTTTGCACTGTATTATTTCACACTCGGTTTCACCGTCCTGAAAAATCTTCCTCATATATTCCTGAAACTTATGGTTTTTCATCCAGCTGTAGAGACCTTTTGTGTCATGTACTAAGCTTTTGAAAAAAAAAAAAAAATAATGGGACTGGTATTTCTTCCTGAACCCTTGCTTCCTCGAGATGAGTTTCTAATCACATTTTACCCTGGAACAGCGTCGAGATGGTCACCACCACTAGCATAATACAGCTGGAGCTTCCTCTTCTCCTGGTGCCCGTGAATCGACGGAATGAAAAAGTGATGACTCTAAATGAATAATTCCTTTCAGGATTCACGTCATCTCGTATATGTATACTGGTCAGGTGGTTCAACTCCTTGATGAATTTATTCTGGAGCTGTCACATGGGTTCAATCAGTCTTGAACAGTGTGATTGTACTACTACTGTAGATCTAAAAAACATAGGAGCGGGGAAAATGATTTGTCATTTATCGTTGCATTTTTTTCGATCGTCATCTTCTCAGTGTCACTTCCACACAATTGATTACGATTATACTCAGACGAATAATGCTCCGTTATAAGTTCAATTATGTTTTTTTGTAGTATTCACTCCACGTTCATTAAAAAAACACAAATTGAATAACAAAAGAACTTAAGTCTGAGATTCTTATTCATTAAACCAATTTTCTAACCTCCAAACGTGCTCCGAAATGATTTAAAGGGCCCGGAGTGGGAAGTGGTGGGGGGAGTACCTCTCGGTAAGACAGACCCGATAAACATTATTTATTATCAGTTGAAAAAATGAACGGATGAATTTGGTGTTGAGCCACCTTTGACCACCACAGGATTCTACATATAAATTCATATGTTGAATTTTTCAAAAAAATGCATCCTTCCCGCTGGCTTCAGGTGAAATTTTTGATCATTTATAATGAATTGATTTTTACCACCAAAAAGCTAAAAGTGGACTACCTTTGACCACCTTCGAACCACCAAGCGATTGCAATAATCCAAATTTGCATTCCCCCCTGCCCCTGCCAGCTGTAAGAAGCTGGGTTTGAATGATTCGGCGCGTTTCGCAATCGACTTAGTAGCAGTAGCAGTACTTTAACCAGGGTGCGTTTCGGAATCAACTACTGTAGCTGCAGTAAAGCGAAATTTCGATAGGGTTACAGTACTGCTACTGCTACTAAGTCGATTGCGAAACGCGCCCACAGTAGTTGATTCCGAAACGCACCCACTGCAAGAAAGTTAGTTGGTACCCCACGGGAAAGGTGGCGTCCCGGTCGAATTGTCGGTGAATGTGAGTCGGGTGCAAAGAGGATTGACTAAAGTAGAGGCTCAGATCTCGGGATTGGAGTGACCCCAAGCGAAAAATAGTTCGACCCCAACGGAGGGATGGCGCCACGGTCGAATCTGACGGCTGGGCGAACTGCCTGTGCGGGTAACTCGGCAGTAGCAGTCTCGCTGTCTCAGGGATAGTTTTGGAGGGGAACTTATGCCCTCCTCGTCCTCAACATGTTCTTAATGTTTTTCAGGTAATTCATTTGCTGGCTAATTAATATTAAGGAATGAAACACAGACGGTGTGATGGAGAATTAAATTCCCCATCAATCGATCCCCGTTGCATCCCTTAATCTCTGTAACAAAAAAATACAAACTACGGCAAAGTCATGGGCCAGTGAGAAAAATAATTTTCTTCTCGGCGTACAGTGACTTTTCACCATTCGCCCGCGAATTAAAAATTCACTTCTCCCCTCCTAATTGAGATTAAAGGATGAAAAAAGAGTAGTTCAATGGAGAATTAAATTCCCCATCAATCGATCCCCGTTGCATCCCTTAATCTCTATCACAAAAAAATACAAACTACGACAAAAGTCATGGGCCAGTGAGAAAAATTGTAGTTTCGCGGCGCAGTGACTCCCGGTAATTAAAAATTCACCTCTCCCCTCCTAATTGAGATTAAGGGATAAAAAAAGAGTAGTTCGATGGAGAATTAAATTCCCCATCAATCGATCCCCGTTGCATCCCTTAATCTCTGTAACAAAAAAATACAAACTACGACAAAAGTCATGGGCCAGTCCCCCCCCCCCAAAAAAAAAGTTTCTCCGACATTTTTCCTTTTTTCCTGACATTAGGGGTGTGCGCATAGTGTACAGATAGAATGTAATCGAATAATTATATTTTTCGAATTTTTCAAAATGACGAATTATTCGAATTTTTCGAATAATTCGATATTTTTAGAATGGACAATGAATTCCGGAAGTTTGTGAGTGAGAAGTCCTAATTTAGATTAGTATTTTATTTTAGTATTATCGCCCACATAAATTTATCACATAAATTTATCAACCCCTAAAAAAAGTTTCAGCAAAATTGAAATAAATCAAATGTTCGAAATGTGTGTGTTCGGGTGTGAGAAGTTCAAATTTTTATTTTTATTTGACAAATAAAATTCTGAAAGTCACGGGAACACATCTTACATGGATGTTCCAACTGAAAATGTATCCTAGGCACCCCCTCAACCCCCCCAAAAAAGTTCCAGCGAAATTGAAAGTGGGGAAATGTTGGAAATGTAGGTTTTTGGGGGTGAGAAGCCCAAATTTTGAGTTTTATTTGACAAAAAAAATTGTCACCCGCAAGGGATCATAGCCCACATGAATTTTTCAAATGTAAATTGATCGTAGGCACCCCCCGCACCGTAAATTAAATAATTCGAAATGTCGAAAAGCAGACCATACTGCTCCATCCCCCGCGAATAATTTTTAATTTCGGATGCACTGATTTCGCTTGACGATTTCGAATGATTTCGGAGGTGATTTTGGAGAGCCGAAATCCCTTGATTTCAGGGATTTCGGTGACTTCGGCGTGATTTTGGGCGACTGGCACCATGCTTTCGGGAGTGATTAGCCCCTCGATTACATGTTTTTAGGGGCGGCAAATTTGTTTTACTGTTCAACCTTTTTCGACATTTCTCGGACCACCGCCTAATCGCTTTCCACTCCTTTGAACGACGATTTAATTTTTTAACAACTCAACAAAAAATCATACTGTCAAATACGGCTTCGTCAAGGTTCAAATACCAGTCGACGTCCAAAATTAATCGAACATTTCCCTCATGTTTTCCTGTGTGTGAACGATCAGGATAAGTTCTGCAAAACTTCTCTCTCTCGTTGATACGCAACAACACAATCGGGAAAAATTCGATAATGTTGGAGGTCTGGTGGTACTACTGATTATTCTGCACCATTTAAATCTCGACCAATAGGAGCATGGAATTTGACATCACGT